ATTAATATATAACAACAAGGGCGACGCAAAAATATGAACAAATAATTGCTTTATGCACCACAATAGACAAGGATAAATCAAGTGGTGCAACGGCTCCATTTTCACAACGAGAGTGGAAAAGGGCTGAGAAAAGGGTTTCTAATAGTACATCAACAGGCCCAGATGGCATTCCAATTACGCTGATAAAGACATTAGGTCCGAAGTCAAAGCACGCTTTGAGAGAGGCAGTGAGCAAACTAATAATCGATGGTGAAGTTCCCGATGGATGGAAACTTAGCAGAATAAGCATGATTTATAAAGGAAAGGGGGACAAAGCTGTCATAAACAACTACCGTCCTATAACAGTGACATCAGTGGTCTACAGGCTGGCGAAGCAGATTATAAAGGAAAGACTGCAGGCATGTATAGAGGATGAGGTGGTGCTGGGGAAACGGCAGAATAGGTTTCGGAAACACAGGAGGTTGGAAGACAATCTGTTCTCACTGACACAGTGCATCGAAATAGCAGAAAAGAAACAAAGACCTCCGTGGCTAGCATTTTTGTATTACAAGGGAGCGTACGATAGGGTGGTTCAGGAGGAATTGTAAGGAATACTGTACACACTAGGCGTGGAACATGTAGTCACTAATCTTTTAAATGTTATCTATAAAGGTAACAAGGTAGTTATAAAGTGGGAAAAACAGGTATCCAAGCCTGCAAAGGTAATTTGGGGGCTTAGGCAGGGGTGTCCTCTGTCACCCTTATTATTCATGATGTACCTCCAAAGACTAGAGGCCAAAATAGATGGAAGTTACGTGGGCTTCAACCTCTCTTTAGTCAAACAAGGAAAACTCATTGATCAGACACTACCAGCATAAATGTACGCAGATTATATAGTGCTAATGGCCGACAACAAGGAAGATTTGCAGAGATTGATGGATATCTGCGATAATGAGGGAGATAGGTTAGATTTTAGATTCAGTAAGAAAAAATCAGCAGTCATGACTTTCAATGATAACGAATGTAGTGAGCTTAGAATACAGGAGGTCACGCAACAGATAACAGATAATTACAAATATCTGGGCGTATGGATAAGCAATGGGACCGAGTACCTAAGGGAACACGAAATATACGTGACGACTAAAGGTAACAGGAATGCAGCAGTGATGAAAAATAGGGCACTGTGGAATTACAATAGGTATGATGTTGTGAGAGGAATATGGAAAGGGGTCATGGTTTCTGGGCTGACGTTCGGCAATGCGGTCTTGTGCATGAGATCAGAAGCTCAAGCAAGATTAGAAATGAAGCAGCGTGGAATAGGTAGGCTTGCTTTAGGAGCTCACGAGAACACACCAAATCAGGGAGTACAAGGTGATATGCGATGGACATCACTTGAGGGCAGGGAAGCTAGCAGCAAGATAAAATTTAAGAAGCGATGGAGAAAAATGGGGGAAGAGCGTTGGGCTGGGAAGAATTTCAGCTAGTTGTACATGAAGAATGTCGATACAAAATGGAAGAAGCGAACCAGGAAATTGACTAGTAAATACTTAGAAAACAGCAGGTGGCCAACACAAAAAGAACTATCACTTAAGAAGAAAGTGAAGGAAGCTGATAACGGTATGTGGAGAATCGGCATGATTGACAATTCCGCACTAGAGATCTATCGAACTTCTAAGCTGGAAATTGCCAAGGAAAGGATCTATGATAATACTAGGGATAGTTCTCTACTGTTTGAGACCAGGACGGGAGTATTGCGAACCAAGACATATCGGGCCAAATACGAAGGGGTAAACACAGTATGCAGTGCGTGTGGAGAGGAAGAAGAAACTGCCGAAGACTTGATAATGTTCTGTAAAGGGCTGCACCCTATAGTTCAGGATGATGACGCAGAGTTCTTCAAAGCACTGGGGTTTAGGGACCGGGAGGGCAAAATAGACTTTAAGCGGGTAGACTTAACTAAAATGAGGTTATCTGATTTGTGGCTAAAGTCAAGGCACGAGTCAAAATTAAACCCTTCACTGCAAAGTATGAATCCTCAACCTGACTATTTAAAGGGAAAAAAGATCAATCTAATGGTTGCTTCACCAAGTATTACGGCTAGGTGGCGTTAGCCGCCACCCAATCTAAATGGTACAGCCACATCCATCCATCCATCCATCCATCCAACCATCCATCCATCCATCCATCCATCCATCCATCCATCCATCCATCCATCCATCCATCTATCCATCTATTAATCCATTCATCCATCCATCCATCCATCCATCCATCCATCCATCCATCCATCCATCCATCCATCCATCCATCCATCCATCCATCTATCCATCCATCCATCTATCCATCCATCCATCCTTCCATCCATGCATCCATGCATCCAACCATCCATGCATCCAAAGCGTTGTTTTAAATAAAATTGAATAAAAGCCGTGCAAATGGTAGCCAGAAAGAAACAAAGCCTGTATTCTACATCGTATGTACAGAACGTGGATGATGAAGCCGCCTGACGCTGGATGCGCCAGCTTTTCATTGGCGCCGATACGCTGAAGGAGCACGGGGAAGCTCCGCTGTACGATGCGCGCGGCATCTATGACGAACTAGGACGGGTAGAGTGTCTTTTCGAAAGCATCCAGTGTCCTTGAGGACACACAGTTTCGCTGGCTTTACTGCAAGGGACGCCAACGCACTCGACGCTACAAATCTGGTGCGAAGTCATGACAACTGCCGTTGCCTCTGCTATTATCAAACGTTATTGTTGCTGCGCAAGCGATGGGTGTAGATCGTGAGAGTGGGAATTCAGCTACACCTTTAAAGTGAATTAAAATATATTTTACGCGTTTGTTTTGTCTGACCCTTCATGTGCAGAGTCCTTGCATACAGAGGAAACTCACAACAGGCTTGAGGGAGCCTCAAAATTTGGTGGAGCCACCCCTTTAACGTGCACTGATGGCGTCAGTGTCACTGCCACTGCCACCACTCTGCAGGACAGGGATGATTTCGTGCTGAAGGCAGGAGATATCCCATGGCACAGAATATATTTCATTTCTATTTAAATTATATAGGCCGCAATGTTGCCGTTTCGCTGCTAGCGTCTTGTTCTGTACAACGTCAAAATAACATCTACCCGATCGTCGTAAGTTTTTATGTGTGCTCTCGGTCCAGCCAACGTTGCCGAAAAAGACGGCCAAGGCTTACAAAGAAGGGAGCTTTAGAATAGTGAACGCGAAGCTTTGCGTACTGTATTTGTTGGGTCACTGCCTTGGCGCATGCGTCATAACTCTAACGACCGTTAGCGTTTGTGGCGCATCCGAAATTATTGAAAATATCGTGCTGCCCGCAATGCCTGCAAAGGCCGTTTGCGGTTAGTCAGCGTGCTGCGAGGTGTGTTAGCGCTTACGGGGGCATACCCTTAACACAAAATCATTAGGCGCCCTTACGCAAGCGGTACGTCCGCAGCTCCCGCTAACCTGTATGTATACACTATTCGAAAAATCCCCAGTCACGCCAAGGGTGCATTCGATAAGTTGCACATCCGCCGCTCTGGACCAGTGGTTACGTTGTCCGCCTGGGGACAAGCTGAACGTTAGATTCTTGCAGTGGCAGTCATATTTCAATGGGGCCGAAATGCTACAACCAATGCGGGTATCTATACAGTCCTGTTACACTGAGGCAAATGGTTGATTTGTGTGATTGGGTTTGGCGCTGTCTCTTCTTGAGCCCCTGCGACCTTTTATGTGAATAGTAAGGTCGCATGCGATATTTAGAGAAAACTCAGTGAATGACTCCTTTCTAGGCTTTTTTTTTGCCATACGACAACAAACAGCTCGACTCACGCTTCGCTTCCAGGCACCGCCGTTGTTCCTCATGACAGCATTTCGACGAAACCAAGCAAATTCGGATCCTAAAAGAGTTGGCTTTATTTGGTTATTATTAAAGTTTATCGTAGTCGACATTCATCGCTTATATATTGCAAACACACAAAGTATTTTTGTTCAGCAACAATGATTCAGTTCGAACTGACCACAAGCTCCACTCAGTAGTCTCGCAGCAGTGAACATTACTGCAGTGCCAGTGTGCCGTTGTTGTGTCTTCTTGTGCAAATACGAATGCTGTACGCCCGCGCAAGGGAAAAGTATTAACGTTTCCGAAACGTTTATCAGCGCAGGTGATGATTCTCTAAGTGAAGGCCTAAGCATGTGGCTGTAATTAACTTGACTATTGATTCTTTTCAAGCTTTATTTTGATATACATTCAAGTGATGCGATGGCAGCAGCCTTGATCCTCATAAAACAATGCATACAAATGGCGCTATTTTCTCGGTGAGCAGTATGTTGTTAATTGAAATAAAGCTTTGAAGCTATTACTAGGATTATAAGAGACGCCGTAGTACAGTTCACTAGAAACTTGACCATATTTTGTTATTATCGTACATTGACATCGCACAGAATGGGGGCTTGTAGCACTTCTCCACTATGCGAATGCAACACCGTGGCTGGGATTGAACACGGGAGCTTCGGGTGAGCAGCCTAGCATCGTTACAACTAGTTTGATGGAAGCAGAGAAGGCATTTCATTTGATACCCAGATGTTCAGATAATTAAAATTGCTTGATAATGAAGCTGTTTAGAAGGTTCTTTTTCAAATAAAATGTGATATTTTCGCAAAGCCAATACCCTGTACTTTTCGCTTCTTGATGTTTCTGTAATGCTGTTCTTGATAGCAGGCAGTATCTCTCACTGTATCATAGCAGCATCGTTAGTCACAAATGTGGTAGTCATTCGCAAATATCAAGAGCTTTATGGAATGTAAAGCCATTGTATATTATAATACAGATTCACTGCACATAGCTGCTTCTCATAGCAGCAACATTAAACGTAGAATGTCATGAGTGGCTGAAAATGTGGCATCTTCGTGAAGTCTGAACGCTGTCTCACAAAGAACACTCTTCCCTACTGCGCACTAAGTATGTCTTGAGCCACATACGTGTTCAGATCTGCTTAAGTAAAGTTAAGAAATATGACTCACCTTGGCTTTCCCTCACCTGCATTCAGCGACCAAAGGTAAGTAGCAGAAGGCGCTTGGTAGTCAAATTCTGTACGGTTTGCTCTTAAGCAGTTAAACAGGGGTTCTCGGTTCACATCTTTCACTCCTGCCGCATCGGAAACAAAGCAAACAGCTGGAACAAAAAAACGCCAAAACGTTCATGGATCACGCAATAAAGCTGAACCAATGGCATGATGCCTGATATTCGGGCTTCACAACGAACTGCATGCCAAAAGGTCGCCGGACTGCGTTTAAAATGTTTGCAGGTAATTCACCTAATACTTGAGGGATAGTTATTGGTCGCGACAACAAAAAGCCGCAGGTTCACTACAAAAGTGAAGCGACGAACTGCAACATCAATAGGTTTGCATGTTATGCGTTAGTGAGGCAAGCAACCATATTCTTTTGAATCTGGTCTGGCGTAAATCTATGAAAATGTGGCTTAATGCAGTAGCTGCAAAAAGAATGCAATTATCTTCCTGTGCCAATCGATTGAACGCTAAGCAAGGGGTGAAAGGTGAGAGATGAACATGAACTAAGGTATGAGCTGCCGTGGACCTCTTTCGACATAGCGCGTCTGTCCGCAGCGTGTCACCGCATCGGTTTAGTGAAAATTGGCAGTTCTTGTTGAAGCGACGCAGTCGCTTTCCGCACGCTTTATGTGCCTTAGAATGCCAAATAAACCCGCTTATTTCAAAGCTGTTTGAGCCACGCCCTATGGAAGCCATCCCACGCCTCTACTCGTACATACAATATACGTCACCCCAGACAATTTTACAATTTCGGATTTATGCATAACATAACATCACCGAGTCACCAACAGCAAAAATGCACCTTGAGTGCCTAAAGGTTTGTTATTGCAATTCAAAGCAGCCGACTTGCAAGATAAAATGGTGCCCTTGGACCTGTATGAAACTTCTTTAATTGTTTCATAAAACCATAATTTCGAATGCCTACATTGAGTGTGTCTTATTGAATCTGCAGTTTACGAACAACTTTACGCCGGCTTATTTTCTTCTGCAAAGTCGAACTACGACGTCCATCCCTAGAATATCAAAACCACATCCACAAAAAAAACTTCGGCGCTTGTTGCACAACTGAAAGAACACAAGGACACCTCGGCACATCTCAACTGAACATCTGTCGGAAAGTCTTCTAATTGGTACGAAGAAACGCTATAACAACTACTTCTTTAGTTTTATTTCCTTGCGATATTCTTACGTATTACCCTCGACATAACATTGAGAACTACGCCACTTTGACCCCCTTTGCTCCAAGAATGCAAGAGTATTTTACAGTATTTCAGTTCAAACGTTTACCTTTAGCGTAAGCTTGCCTTTCTGATAATTTTGTCTGTCACATCATCAATAATATGGACGCGTAAACTGATCAATTGCTATAAAGACGCAGTGACCAAGTATGCAGTTATGCGGAAATGCAGGGAAAGCGGACTCCAAGCCTGCGTTCTGTTTTTTAGCTAGTACATACGACTTAACATAAGCGCAGCACATCTACACAGAATGGATCGTTATATTACCACGGTAGGTGGAATGATTGGCCCCCTTCAATTCCTGATTAGATGCATGTGTAGTTAATGAGTTCCTGTGATATTTTGGGCTCGAGAGATTATACTTTTTGGTGCTGTCGGAAATGCGCAGTTTGTGCTAATCAGATTCGGTTATAATACAGCACTTCTTAGCGTAACGAAAAAGAGAACTTGCAATGAACAAGGGCTTCTCAAAGATTGCAGTGCCTAATCACGCAATGCAAGTTGATGTGTTTACCTAGCATGCCATTCGCTACTACTATCAACATGAGTATTTCAAGGCCCCAGAGTTGCGCGCATGCGACGGTTCTCCAAACGAAGAAAAGGACTGGGAAACACTGCTCACAAGTACCAACAAGGATGACCAATTTCAGGCCGCCCAGGTGTACATAAAGTATCTTCGGGAAGACGTTTAAGCCAACCGCTCAAGATATATTCCCAAATTGGGTGTTGCACAAACAATTCGCGCTTTTACTACCACAGGTCACGAATCAAGCAAGGCAACATCTAAATTCATCATGCCTTATGGCTAACATGTTGTGAGAAACAATTGAAAAGAAAATTTAACGAGGATGACTGAAAATCTGCCACAATAGTCTGGTGCTTATTGTGCTCCACTGGTGACCGATAGGTCGCGTGAACGCGTCCCAGCCGTTACAGCAGCACTTCATGATGAATGCTTGATGCACATGTACATAGATTTAAGTGCACCATAAAGAACTCCAGGTGGTCTGAATTTCCGGATCTCTCTACTACAGCTTCTTTATATTATATGGTGGTTTGAGGAAGTTAAACCCCGAAATTTAACTGCAATTGCTACCGTTTTACGTCTCAAAACCACGATATGATTATGAGAGTGCAAAGTTGAGAGCTCCGGTAATTTTGGCAGTCAGGTGCTCTGCTACTTGCCCGGACAACGTACAGTAGATGGGCGTCTGCCAATTTGTCTCCATTGAAATGCGATCAATGCTGCTGGGCTCGAACCCATGATGTTTGGGGTCAGCAGCCGAGCCTCATAACCACAACCGCCACCACAGTGCGCAAAACACGAAGAAATATATCAACTGCCAGACCAGACATTACTGCGGAAGAAAAATATTTTAGTGAAAAAAACGGTCTCTTTCTTGTACTGTATATATATATATATATATATATATATATATATATATATAAATAAATATATATATATATATATATATATATATATATATATATATATATATATATATATATAGATTGTAGTGAAGAAGAGGAGCTTCAGCGGCATTTCTCGGCGCATCAGGGGCATCGCCATCAGTATAAGCTCGTGCCTGCTGCGCTTGGCCGGACCCTGCTGACTGCTTCGCTTTCTGCGTTCTGCGCTGCAAATAAACCCCGTTACAAGTGGTGGAGGTGCTGGGTTTCGATCACCCTGGAGCTTCGGAATCGCATTTTACCATCCATTATGCCTACCGACGCAAGCGCCGCTCCAACTCCTCCACCGGCACCGCCTACTGTTCTCTGCGCCGGTTCTCTGCGGCTGCGAGATCCCCCTGTCTTCTCAGGCACAGAAGACAAAGACGTTGATGACTGGATTTCAATGTACGAGCGAGTGAGTACTCACAACAAATGGGATGACACCGCCAAGTTGGCCTACGTCTCTTTCTACCTGTCGGACGTGGCCAAGCTGTGGTTTATAAACCACGAAGCGGAACTCCCTACATGGTCGGTCTTCAAAACGAGCCTCACACAAGTTTTCGGGCGGCCTGAGGTACGCAAACGCCGTGCCGAACAACGCTTACATACTCGGTCCCAGCAGCTTGGTGAGAATTTCACAAGCTATATTGAGGACGTTCTGGACCTTTGCAAGCGAGTGAACGAATCAATGTCCGAAGAGCTCAAGATAAAGCATATCATGAAAGGCATTGAGGACGACGCTTTCCAAATGTTGCTTTCCAAGAGTCCTCGCACTGTCCTAGAACTGACCGAGTTATGCCAGAGTTTTGACGAGTTGCGCAGGCAACGTCTTTCCACCCGACGTCTCTCGGTGCTCGACGACTCTTCGTCCAGCCTTTCCACCCTTGGCATAGGAGAAGACCATGCCCCTCTTCTCTCAAAGATCCAAGAGTTCATCCGTGCTGAGGTCGCTCGCCAGCTCTCTTTGATGTCCTGTGTACCCGATCAACCACGCAGATCGCCGTCTACACTCCGCGACTTCATTCAAGACCAGGTCGCACAAGTTATGGGCATATGGGACGACAACCGTCCCATATGTTTTGCTTGTCGTGGTGTTGGCCACGTGGCACGTTATTGTCGTCGTCGCCAGGCTGCCCAGAACATTCGACGAATGCCCTCTTTCGACCCTCAGTTTTCGTCTACGCCTTCAAACCCTCCTTCCTCTTCCTTTCCTTCTGATCGTCCACACGGCCCGACCCGCCGCTCCCCATCTCCACGTCGACGTTCGCTTTCCCCTATGCGTCGCCGTTCCGCACTCACCGACCAGGAAAACTAACGGCCGCAGTTCCCGAGGCACAAACTGCGTCCCCGTCGCCATGCACAAGTCCTCGCCCCTGTCCAGCTAACGTCTTTGAAGTGTCAGTCGATGGTATCGTCGTCATGGCGCTTGTTGACACCGGAGCCGCTCTATCCGTCCTGTCCATGAACCTGTGCCGCAAACTCCACAAAGTTCTGACGCCATTATCCGGCCTCTCTCTTAGAACGGCTAACGCAGAAAGTGTAACACCTCTCGCAGCCTGCACCACACGAGTCGTCATCGAAGGGATTGTGTATATCGTCGAATTCGTAGTGCTGCCCTCGTGTTCCCATGAAATGATACTCGGCTGGGACTTCCTTGCGAATAATAATGCCGTCATTGACTGCTGTCGCGCTGAACTTGAGCTATCTGCACTTCCTGATGTTGACGCTGTCGAAGCCTCCCTGCCGTGTTATAATCTGTTTGTTTCCGACGACACCACCGTACCACCGCGCTCTTCTCTGCTGGTGACTGTGTCGTGTGACGCTATTTCCGACGGTGATGTTTTATTTACGCCCTCTGCCCTGTTCATTCAACGCAAATGTTCTCCACAGCCCGTTGCTCTTCTTACTCTCCGCCATGGCGTCACGAAGACGCTCGTGTACAATACGCTAGAAGGGCCTTTACCTTTATTCTATGGTGAATGTCTCGGTCACGTGCATCCGATCGACGCCCGTCAAATTTTTGACGCTCCATCTAGTATACTTTCTACGGACCTCAGCGCACTCATTTCTGACTCTGTTGTTGACCAGTCACTCCTTGACGCTTTCCACCGCTCCATCGATGTCGCAACGTCTTCGTCAGAACGAAGCCAGATAGTGAACCTGCTGCAAAAGTTTCGTACTTCTTTTGACAGCCACGCTTCTGGCCTCAGTCGCACATCGAACATATCTCACAAGATTGACACAGGAAGCCATACGCCTCTACGGCAGCGCCCCTACCGAGTCTCAGCGTCGGAGCGCCGTGTTATTGACGACCAGGTTGCTGACATGCTCCAGCGGGGTATTGTACAGCCTTCTAACAGTCCCTGGGCGTCACCGGTCGTTCTTGTTAAGAAGAAGGACGGCTCCATTCGGTTCTGTGTGGACTATCGACGTTTAAACAAGATCACCCGCAAGGACGTTTACCCGTTACCTCGAATAGACGACGCCCTTGACTGTTTGCAGGGAGCAGAATACTTCTCTTCGCTGGATTTACGGTCTGGATACTGGCAAGTTCCTATGGAAGCATCTGACCGACCGAAAACAGCATTTGTCACACCTGATGGGTTATACGAGTTTACCGTTATGCCTTTCGGGCTTTGTAACGCTCCAGCCACTTTTGAAAGAATGATGGACGCTATTTTACGAGGCCTCAAGAGGAACACATGTTTATGCTACCTCGATGACGTAGTTGTCTTTTCCACCGATTTCGACACCCATTTAAATCGTCTCGAGCACGTCCTCACACGTCTCACCGACGCCGGCCTTCAACTCAACCTCAAGAAGTGTCGTTTTGGTGCTCGGCAGCTCACCATTCTTGGCCACGTCGTATCGCGGGACAGCATACTTCCCGACCCCGCCAAGCTTCGAGCAGTCGCCGATTTTCCGAAGCCAAAGAACTTGAAGGAACTTAGAAGTTTTGTCGGCTTGTCGTCATACTTCCGACGCTTTATTAGAAATTTTGCTTCCATATGTGCGCCCCTTACGGACCTTCTTAGTGGCGAAAAGGACCTTTCCACCTGGTCACCAGCATGCGACGATGCATTCACCAAATTACGCCACCTGCTGACTTCACCACCCATCCTCCGCTACAACGATCCTGCCGCTGCCACGGAGGTTCATACTGATGCCAGCGGTGTTGGACTTGGCGCTGTGCTCGCGCAACGAAAGGCAGGGTTTGATGAATATGTCGTCGCCTACGCAAGCCGTACTTTGACGAAAGCCGAGGCTAACTACTCCGTGACCGAGAAAGAGTGTTTAGCTATTATTTGGGCCCTTGGAAAATTTCGCCCCTACCTGTATGGTCACGCATTCGACGTCGTCACTGACCACCACGCCCTTTGTTGGCTATCCACACTTAAAGACCCTTCCGGACGACTTGCTCGCTGGGCGCTCAAACTTCAGGAATACGACATCCGCGTTATTTACAGATCTGGTCGTAAGCACACGGACGCCGACGCCCTTTCTCGCTCACCCATATCGGATGAAGGTGTTTGCCTCTCTTCCCTCGAGCCTGCACTTGCGTCATCGGCCTTGCGCAACATGACGGTGGAACAACGAAAGGATCCCTGGATCAGTGGCCTCATAAGCATTCTCTCTGATCCTCTCACTCCTTCGCCGTCTCGCGCTCTCCGCCGCCAGGCTAGCAACTTTTGCCTAAGGGATGATCTTCTTTATCGACGCAACTACCTTTCTGACGATCGCAAGTGTCTCCTTGTGATACCCCGCCATCTTCGAGCTGCCATCTGCGAAGCTTTTCACGCGGACCCGCAGTGCGCCCACGCAGGCCTCTTCAAGACATACGCTAGGCTTCGACTCAGATATTATTGGCGTGGCATGTATAACTACGTGCGAAAGTTCATTCGCTCGTGTGCTCAGTGCCAACGACAAAAGTTACCTCCCGGGCAAGTCTACCCGTCACAACCTCTTCCTTGTCCTAGTCGACCTTTTGATCGCGTCGGCATTGACATTTACGGACCACTACCATCAACTCTAGCTGGTAATCGCTGGATTATTGTTGCGATAGACCATCTGACACGCTATGCCGAAACAGCCGCGCTGCCGACTGCCACAGCCCGTGAAGTTGGAACATTTCTGTTGCAACGTTTCATTCTGCGTCATGGTGCCCCTCGTGAGCTCTTAAGTGACAGAGGCCGTGCCTTCCTTTCTGACGCCTTGAAGGCATTACTCAACGAATGCCGAATCGTGCACCGCACAAGTACAGCGTACCACCCTCAAACAAATGGCATGACGGAGCGCTTCAACCGTACTCTTGGCAGTATGCTGTCGATGTACGTCGCCTCTGATCATTCAAATTGGGACCAAGCTCTCCCGTTCGTCACCTACGCGTATAATACTGCCGTACAAGCTACTACTGGGTTTTCGCCATACTTTCTTTTGTACGGACGAGAACCTTCAAATACAGTAGACACTATTCTTCCATATAAACCTTATGAGTCCGAAAGTACAACTCTGTCCGAAGCTGCCCGACATGCTGAAGAATGCCGCCAGCTTGCCCGCTCTTTTTCTACCGAGGACCAGTGGCAGCAGCAATCCCGCCAGACTGGGGACCGTTCGGCTCCAAACTTTCCACCTGGTTCATTAGTATGGCTTCGGGCACCAGCTACCGCGCCTGGCCGCTCCGCAAAACTTCTTCCCAAATACATCGGGCCATACCGCGTTGTAGAGCAAACGTCACTCGTCAACTATATCGTGGAACCCATCATCCCATCCACAGACCTACGCTACCGCGGCCGCGACACTGTCCACGTCTCTCGTCTCAAGCCATATTACGACCCATTAGTCGTTTCTTCTCCCTAATCCGCCAGGATGGCGTCTTTTTGTGCGGAGGGCGATTGTAGTGAAGAAGAGGAGCTTCAGCGGCATTTCTCGGCGCATCAGGGGCATCGCCATCAGTATAAGCTCGTGCCTGCTGCGCTTGGCCGGACCCTGCTGACTGCTTCGCTTTCTGCGTTCTGCGCTGCAAATAAACCCCGTTACAAGATATATATATATATATATATATATATATATATATATATATATATATATATATATATATATATTATATATATATATATATATATATATATATATATATCTATATATATATATATATATTATATATACGTACCTGGAAAGCGTCGAGCTCTTGCGTTTGAGTGGTATTGTCTCCATTAACTGTACATACATCAAACATAGTTAGACAGAGTCCGAAGACGTTCCATGCTATAAAAATGCCTGCTTTCATCATTATATATGCAGAATGCCTGATGCTCAATGGTAGTACAAGACTAGTTTTGCGATTGTAACAGCAGTACTTCCTAGCACGTCATGAAATTGCCGTCGCCGTTTTGTTCGCGACAGCTCTATGCACCTACAAGCAAGGCAGGCATAGAGGCCTCAGAGTCAAGTCTGCATGACAGCGCTCTGTTTTATGTGAGAATGCTGTCCACTGACAGCAGCTGCTGTGCCTTCTAGCTGACATGAAGGACGCCGTGTGACCTAAATGCATGACACCTGTTCTATCGTAGGTAAATCTCAATATTTTAAACCTTTTGTACCATTGTAAGGACACCAAAAGAAGCGACGAAGCATCCTGCCGTTATCCATTTCTCATGTTGCAGAAGAGCCATGAAACTTCGGTGAATACTTCTTGTATAATGAGAATTACTGTCAGATGTATGTTGCGAAGGAGGGAATGGGTGGTACTTTTTACAAAGAAAGCTGTTATGAGATGACGACACGGGTCACGCGTGGCGCCGTAGTTGACTGCCGCCGCCGCTGGTGTCCGTAACCACTATCGTACAAAACAAGAAAAATACTTGAATAACAAACAACAATGCCATAGCGAAATTCGAACCCGGCTTCACTGCGTGCCAACCCAGTCTTTTACCGCTGAGCCACGGCAGTGTTTTTATTCATAGTATTTATTACAGTGTATGTTGAAATCAACATAAAATGACGCAGTATGGCAAGTAAGTACAATCACACAGCGACAATAAGCGCTCCAGCGTTACTAAGAAAACACTCGACAAGTAACGAAGTTTAGTAGAACGGCGAAAGTTCATCAAATTGCATTTTACACAAAAGGTGACGAGGCCAAGCACCTCACCATGATGGTGTACCAGTCTGGTTTGAATTTCACTTCATCATAAATGTGTTTTATGTGAATAGCCATTCTATTATTCGCTCAAAGAAATGGTGGGTTGCGCGTTATGGTTTTGCATGCGCATTGTCCGTAGGCTGTGTATATTCATGCGGAAAATCCTATCGAAAGGCACTTACTCAAGTGAGGTTGTCAAAAGGTGACAGATAATAAAAGAAGGAAGTCAAATTTATTTTTTAGAGTCTGCTGACGGACATTCCAGAATATTATAAGGTCTTTGCAACTAACAAAGCAGTGTTCTATTGTGTCCGGCACATCACATAGGCGGCAGTTAACACAGGAAACAAAAATGCTTTAACGAGAAGTGTCTTAGTATAAACTTTATAAAATTTTGTTTTTAAATATGGATAGGCATTACATTTTGCGCACTCCTTTCAACACATCATGACCTGACAGATCAGCAGCACAGCTGAGGTGGAAAAAGCATACGTTGTAAATCTTTGTATATTACTTTGCGAAACACTGTGTACAAGTATTCTATAAAAAGCGAGCTTTAAGAAACGTAAATGCAGAAATAATGTAGAGGTGCGGTGGTTTGGGCTAGTAGTTAGGACATAATGATTGTTACAGCGTGATAAGAACGTCTACAAAAGGATAAGAAGACGACTGCTAGTTTCCAACTCTCGGAAGTTAGCGCTCGTCTTCTTATCCGTCGTTATGATCTCACGCTATAACAATTGTCTTGCATAATAAACTTCCTGCTTTAATTTTTACAAAAAGGGGCAGTCGGAAAAGTTTAAAAAAATGATCAGATCAGAAAATCAATCCACAAAATTAACCTGCATGAATGAACGAACGATAATATGGGAATCTTCACGAAAAAAAAGCGAAAAAGTGTTTCCCATAGATATAGATGCTTTAATTTTAACCCAGCAGCACTAACTGGCATGAAATTATTTTCACGACGCATGGGCTCAAAAGTCGAAGACCATACGAAAGATCGAAAATCTGATAAAATCGTTGTACATAAAATCTTTCATAATAGATAAGTTTGAATACGTAGTAAAGCTTTGTTTCTAGAAAACTATTACAAGCTTCAGCTCTACCAAATATTGATAGGCGATGGGGAACAAATTTCTGGGCTTGTCGTTCAAGCATAGAAGCACGCTCATTCCAGTAATGCGCACTGAATCTACATGCATTTAACGGTATACAGAGATAAGTTGGTGCTGTTCTTGTCCATTTATTCCTGCATATTCACTAAGCGTACTACCTCTCGAGCGAGACAATCCTAAACTCTTCGAGGTGTTCAAAGAAGCTCCTGATACTATGTCAAATTTGCCTGTTACAGATAACACATACTACATGCTTGATTTATTCCTGAAGAAGACTACTACGTCATCTACATAAGCTAATACTTTCACTTTAGTTCAAAATATACCAATTTCTCGAATACTACTTCATCGTAATATACTTAAGCACAGCGGCTCTAAATAGAGGGCAAGCAGAAGTGTGTAAATGGGCCAGCCCTGCTTTACAGACGAACAAATCCAAACTGATTTCGACAGCTGACCTATAAAAAAGACATGTCGAAGATTGAATATAGCATAGTTTACACTTTAAAACACAACGGTGTCAACATTGGCATATCCCAAAAGAAAGAGAAGAAACGAATAAACTAAACAATCGAAGGCTTGTGCATGGTCTACCTTTAATATCGCAAGGTGTTCTTAATCTTTATACCATGCAGTACTGAAGGACAATATGAGTGACACGTATATTGTTTTGTATAGATCGGCTTTTAATTCCTCATGTTTGGTGGGACCCAATGAGAGTAGACATCGCAAATTGCAACCCATTCGATATTACTCTAGCGAAAACTTCGCAGCGCTTGCCAGCGTTTGACAACGCTATTAGCCGATAACCCTTCAGAAAGCGAAGTTTTTGCTTTTCCCCATTTTCGGGTATCAAAACTGTGTGAGTATTGCAAAATGATCTCGAGAGTGTCTTCATATGACAACTTATTTAAAGATATCACGCAATATAGGACAGAAAGAGAGCATTTTAAAAGTTTTGTAAAATTAAGCAGAAATGCCGTCATGGCCAGGAGGCTTCGATGAAGATAAGCTGTCAATTGCGTGCTCAATTTCCTCTATTGTAATAGGACAACTACTTACTGCACAATCATCGTCTTCTAATGGTCTCAAACGGAAAGAAAACTCATTGTGAGGTCTACATCGGGGCTAGAGAGAGCACTAAGGAAACTTTCATTGTATTTTCCCAATATAAACGTTATGTAATTTACGTCTTTTACAAGAATAACATTAGAGTAAAGGTCTGGGACTACTTTACAAATTGCATGGTATTTTTCATCGAGTAAAGCTAGACGCGTTGGCTGTTCTGAGTTTAGGGTACGTCTATTTTGATATCTAATACGTGCTTCTCTGTAACAAGCGGCATTATATGTTTGAAGTTGACATTTATTATTTTTAAGTGGATTTAGGTACGATCCCGGTGTCTCACATTCCCTCTCATAAAGGCTGCACAAGCTTTTAGGCAGTGTCTTTTCCTCGTTCTTCCCACAGAAATACTTATGAGCTGCAATCTCTATAGTCACAACACAAACTTCTTGTTTAAAAAGCTCCCAAGCATCATGTTTATGTAGACCTCTTGAAGAAGGACTGCGTTATAGTTGTCCGCACATAAATGATGAATCCTTGATCACGTAGGAGCTCGGTGTACCTTCCAAAGGACTCACTACGGTCGGAATCGGTTTCTGCAATTTGCGCCAATTTGTGCAATAACGATACAGTGATCTGAGAACGACACTGTTGCCGTGATACAGGACATTTGGCGGGATAGAGTGATGCCATCACGTCGATTCGGTCAAGGCGAGCATAAGAACTTTCGTGAACTTTTGTACATGCAGTCACTTGGCTCGACACACCAATTTCAACGAGCCCTGCATTGTTTACAATTCTGGATAAAAGCGTCCCAGTCCTGTCTCACCGACCATTTTGATTGCTACAATGGTTAAGATCACGTACACAATTGAAGTCACCCGTAAGCACAGTGACACGGTCTGAGTCTATTAGACTGGACTTCAAGTCGCTTCAAAATCTTATTCAACGCATGTAGGCTGATAATACGCTACGGCATTCCTTGAAGCACAAAACCACAACATACGTATCACCCGTCGTTATCAATACAAGTACTTATTGCCGAACATGGCAGGCTATTTCTCAGAAAGAGCCAACAACTCACAGATAATCATTTTGCATGGGAAATGCACACATTATACTCAGACATAAAAGGTCGAAGAGCCTTCTTTCTCTTTTCGTAGCTCTATATCTTTGTCTCTTGGATGGCGACAAAGCCGAGACGCTCTCGAGTGAAAAGGCTACGAAGCTGTGCCTGTTTCTGCAGTGACCTGAGGTCATGTACATTTATAGTCGCAAAATGAGTCATTCAGACTGCTCCATGATGACCAACTTCTGTTGCCGTTATTTTCCATGTGGACAGTCAGGGAGGTCAATAGTGAGACTTCTCTTGAACCCCCAAACAGCCACTTAATCGTGACCACCGGCACTTTCTTTCTATATATGTCGTTAGGCGATGGCGATTATTCTTATTAACAGTCGCTGCGTCATCCTTGTTGCTTGATTCCGAGGTGTACGACACCCGGCGCTTAAGCGTTGCAGTCTCCACAGAAGTCTGCATGTCATCTTTTAATGTCGTACAGTGGTGGTGATACTGCTGATAAGCTGCGGCACAAGCAGTTGAAGCATCTTGACTGACCTCCTTCGTAGGAACCTCCTGCGTAAGAGGCTTTCTAGAATTATTTTGGGTTGGCTGCTTGCAATGATGCCTTGGTTCTTTGCGTGCAAGAACTTCACCTTCTTCCTCCACGTCTGATTCGTGTAGATCCTTGTTGCTGAAGTTCCTAGTATGTCGGTGACGGAGTGTCTCCTGCTTCATACAGAGCTTCTGAAGCATTCACGATATGGTCCTGTATAATATTGTCCTTGTGCTGTGTGCACTCTTGTAGCTTCTTAGCATTAGTCAGGACACAGTCCTCAGCTGAATGACCGAACCGTCGGCAGTCATCACAGCAAAGACTTGTGCAGTTTCGGCGGATGGGTCCAACCTTATTGCAGCGAATGATGTGGGGTTTCCGGCAGGGGATGAGAACGGCACTTTGTACTCCACACACAGTCAAAAAGTGAGGAATATCGCCCACTCGGACTACCATGGCAAGGAAAATGTTCACTCATGTTCTGAAATGTTGT